ACAAATAACTCGTGTAAATTAGGCCTAAAAAGCGATACGTTTTCGTGTTATCAAACTCCCCTACACTTGAACCTTTGCTTGTCCTCAAGCAAAAAGATAAGGCGGTTTATAAAAACGATGAATTAAACACACGCGTCGATGTTTGCAAACTAGCTAGTTTGTAAATTTTGATTAGGCCAAGAGATTTAGACGCAAAAGAGGTACGGTGACGACATTAGAGTACTCCAATTGTGCAAACCGTTCTGAGTCATATTGTTATAACACCAATCAACCCTTTAAACTAAATTTCACCCGTGTTCATTCAAGCGCAATCACATTAAGCCCTTTATCTCCATACGCACATAGCAAAGTAACCGGTTAGCGACTATGATCCGTTGATTCTTGGGGTTCTGGCACTTATAAGTTGTAACCCCTTCTTTTTATAACTTAATTGTAAATTGCGGGGGATCGGTCCGTAGTCCTCCCTACCAAGTTCAGTACCAGATACTTCCGAACCAATTTACAATAAGTTTTCTTTTATCTTGTGAGAATTACATCCTTTGGGCTAAATGACCGAGTGAGGGTCACCTAACTTACTTTGGGCATTTCACGACAAAGATTTCTATTTTATCATCATCTCTTTCGGATCATTCACTTATATTCATCGGTTTCTTGCGTAGTTTGTGTTTTGACGGTCCCGACTGCTAGATAAACTACTAGGGGCTAATTTAAAGTAAAATTCGCGGTTGGCGGTATAATAAGTATCCAAAATGGCATCGCATAAGGTGGAGTTCTAAAATGTCAAAATCGTAACGATTTTGTCAAACTTCCTCAAGTGGCCTAAACTTAATTGAATATTTGGTTTTAGCTAGCTGTTTGGACACATCGCGTTGTGTGATAATCGTAAATTTTTCGTCATGGCTCAAGAATTATAAAGTCTGGGGAAATCCAATAATGCACAAAAAAGAACTTAGCAATTAAGGACTTAATTGTGCATGAAGTTGTTTTATTGAAGGGAAAGTACAAGAAAGAAAAAACGATGCGAAAAATAAAATCTAATCTAGAAAGCGAAATAAAATGATAGAGTTTCCGCCTGCGTGTTTTTAACTGAATTCAGCCCAACAACATTGTTTTGTTACAGTAAAAAGCGGTTTTTTGTACAACCGGGCCAAGTGCCTTTTCCGTAGCCCCAAATTAAACATCATTCAAGTAAATATATATACAACAAATAATTTTGACACACCAATCTTTAAATTTCTTTTTGGAGAAATTCTAAAATATCTATTGACAGAAAAAATTAAATTCCTTTTTACAACCAAAACTGTTTTTTTCAATCTCAAAATTATTTTCCAAATAACCGAATGGGCTGCTTAATGTGACTCAGAAATTACCCCCTCCCCCTTTGTTGTTTGGATAACAAAGTGGAAATGGGTCAACTAAATTGCAATCACACCCTTTTTTACTAACAACGAATAACACTTAAATGTCTTTAATAAATTTAATTCCAACCAATAACAACTTACGTCGCCTTTTAAGAATTAAGGATTTAATAGTTATTTGAAAAGTTTTTTTTCATTTTCGAATCGCATGGGCCAATGGTCAACCTGCTTGGCGAATAGGTTTATGGGTTCATGGGTCTTTCTGATTTAAAAAAGTCCCACTCTTCTGAATTAAAGTACACCATGTAGTTTTGGATAAAGAAAGGTCATTAGATATTGTTGTACCATCTTTAATTAAATATTTCTTCTATTTAAATATTGAAAAATAAAATCGTCGAGGTAGGACAAATTTAGGGTTCGACAAGATCCTCGAGTATAGCAAAAATCTTCCTAAACAACAAATTTCCAAAACTACATTCAAAATCAAAATCGCCGAGAAAGCATATCAAAACTGAAAAGAAAACGCAACAGGATATAATGATTCAGATATTTGCAAATGAATATAAATAGATTAAATCCTAACTGAGGGTTGTAAATCGAATAACCAAAGCCTTGTAGAAAAGGAAAAATATGGGTACCGTAAAATCCTAATTTCTTCTTTCGTTGGCTACAGAAAAAACTCTAAAAAAACATCACAGATCTGTTTCACATATATATCAGAACATTCACAAAAAGTGAAAAGCAAACCTCGGAAATTTGAGCAGAGTCGACATCTTCTTCGTTGGAGGAGAATTTTCTAAAACGGGAAAAAGAAAATGGAAGCAAAAGCGTGTTATGAGGGAAGCATAAGTTATGGAATACAAACGGTTGTGTGAAACCATGATATACTTGTTATTTGAAACCGCCGTAGAACATGTAAAGGTGTAGAACATGTGAAGGATTGGAAGATGAAAGATAATATACAGAATAAACAATCAGGAGGATTTGGGAAAAACGTTATGGTGAATTGTGAGGCCATCCACGTGGCTCAATGTAGAAAGAGAAGGGAGTTTTAGGTTTTTAAAGAGCAATCATGTTTCTTATATGGTAGATATTTATTTCAAGTGTTACTTTTATTACTATAATTTCAGAGAAACAAAAAATATTTTATTGTATTTGAATTTTCACATCTCTTTTATATTTAAAATATGAGAGAATATTTTTTAACTTAAGAAAATATAAGATGAAAATGTATTTTGAAATGTGCCACATAGGACTATAGGATGATGTGGTAAATTTAGAGTTATACTTGATGATGTCTTAGAATTATAATTGATGATATATTGTTATAATATTTGATACATTAAATTTAATATATTATATAATTATAGATTTTAATCTTTGCTCCTGCACCCTTGAATAGATGTTAATATATCTAAATATTCTTTAGATATACTATAAATAAATTTTGTTCCGACCGTTACTTCTGCTTAGATTTAATCGTGCCAACATTTTATTAAAGTCTCTTGGCAGAGCAATTTCTTTTATTAAACTTTTCATCTTTATGCAACTTACATATTCTGTTTATTTTCTTTATCTAATTAATGTTCTTCGTATTTATGCATTGAAAATAAACACTTTTTTTTATCATAGATAATATACTAGCTTAAATCAACTGAGTTCTGAATATGAGGACCGTCATATTTATGAGGACTGTCATATTGTTTTTTTTTTTAAAACCAAAACTGATAAATTAATTTAAAAGGGAACAATACAATCAAGACAACCTCATCAGGTTCAGCCATCTAATTCTACAAAAAAAAACTAGCACATTAGTCTAGCAATATTAGGCCTAATCTTTCTATTTCCCCAGCATCTATACACTATACAATCAATAATTCTTTTTACCGTATTGTTGTTAAGAGTAGTGTTATCAAAAATAGAAGCATTCCTAAGCAGCCAAGTTTCATGAATTATTTCTGTAAACGCCATTTTGAGCACTGTTGCCCGCCAGCCCTTACCTTTAGTACTAACCAGAATCCACTTCAGCTCATCCTCCCAGAGAAGAGGTTTGTGGCTTACCCCCAACCAATTTAAAGTTGTCATCCAAGTAGTAATAATTTTGGAACAGCTAAAGAAAAGATGGTTCGCACTTTCTTCCTCTTTCTCACATAAACTACACAAGCTATCTTGGACTATACCAAACCTCACCAACCTATCCTTGGTAGGGAGCTTCCCATGACACAACAACCATGCTGTAAACTTGGCTTTTGGTCTAGCGTGGTTATGTAGAAGGAGCTTACTCCAAGTACTTCTACTCAAATCATCAATAAGCGCGTTATAAACTGCTTTCATTGAAAATTTCTGATGGAGAAGTATTTGGTCCCAAATGTGTTGGATTTGAGTGACCTTGCTTCTAAGGTTCAAAATGCTCCTAATGCTCCTATTGTTAATACTCAAATAATTCATAAAATTAATATTTATAATTCTTTTCTTTTATGTGTGAAAAATTCTAGTTATTATAATTTAAAGTTTACTGCGAAAGTAGAAACATAGAGATATCACTTTCAACCAGAGAGAGTGAAAAAGTTATCTAAAAGTTGGAATTTCATAAATTAATTTTAAAATACAATGAAAGCACTTTTTAAATTAATATGGAAAAATCTAATGTTCAAAAAGGTGATTTCAACTGATAAACATATATGGGAAAGCATGCGTTCATAAATTTAAAAATCTGGTACCAGTCACGCAAAAGTAGATAATATCTTTAAATTAATTTTTTATTAAAAATAATTTTTTAAATAATAAAAAGCAATTATTTTTCAAACGGGATTTTGAAGATGTAACATGTACAGGCGAAAGCAAGCAATTAAATTATAAAGTTGATATCCGATGTCATACACACGAAAATGGTCGGTACCTTTGATTTAATGCTTTTTCGCAAAAAAATATTTTTTTGTTGTAAGTTATAAGATACGACTCTGTCAGGATCAATGGTCGACAAGATCTGCGTTTTGGTCTCTCGTTATTATAATATATTTAACCGAATCTCTATAATTTGTTGTGTTTTTTTTCTATCTCTAAATTATTTATTTTTCGTATTTTATTTTCCACAGCTAATTTCTAAAATTATTTTAAACTTTGAAAATGATTTTTTCAGTTGCATATGTCCAACAAACCTCGCAAACTATTATTAATATTATTGAAACTATTTTATGTTACATATGCCTGAAAATTGTTGTAGCAATTCTAAAAGAAACTAGTTTAAGGTTGATTTTTATTTTTCCAACTATTTTTTAACCCTTAAAACTACGTGTTAGCAACAAATTGACTAAATCCTACATGTAATTTGTAATTTAACCAATATCTTTGTATGCATAATCTCTTTCTTTGATTATAAGTTGTTTGATTGTGTATACTTTCACAAAACATTACACAACCGTCAAAATCCTTTTAGTCTAATCATATATGTAACACTTTCTCGATAAGTGTAAGGGTGCTTTACTTTATTATACAGGTAATTCTTAATATTGGAAATTACATCGTAATTGAACCTACAATAGTGTTTTTTCAAACTTATTTTAATAAGAACCTTAAAATACTATTTTGCTGATATACTTGTACAATCATATGTAGAATGTACCGTTATCAAACATAGATCTCTTAAATCCTAGCGCAACAACAGATTGATAGCGTTGTACAATGGCCGCTAGAAAAGGCTTTTGTATAACATAATGCGCCACAGCTTAAAACAGTACATGGTAGCGGCCCAAAGCAAATATCTGCGTCTATTCCTGGTGCAATTATGGAAACAATTAATGCACAGTTACAAAAGTAAAAAGAAGGATGAATTTAAATTTATTATAAGTTCTTATAGTAATCAGAACAATATACTTAAATAACTCATGAGATTTCTAAATATTAGCTTCACCTTTCTTAGGTTGATTACCGCTTTCTATGCTCTCAGCAGCATTATAGCCATTCAGAAATATAGCTACTACAAGGATAGCTAGAACAAATGATCCACTAGTTTTTGCCATAGCACTATATTTTTAATTCTTATCTCTTATCTTGTTTTGCGTGGAATAAAATTGGCTTCACATCACTCCAATTTGTAGCACTATATGTTTCCTTAAATGAGAAAATTAATGAACTAATCTGGCTTTGCGTGAGAAGAAGATATTTTGATAAATTTTAGTTAGTTTAAACCGTGTGGGAAGCATGCATATGCATGGTGCTAAATAATAATTTACTAATTAATTGTTATTAAATAAATTTTAAAATTTATTAGTTACGTGATATCTCAATCTTTATGAATTATTGTTTTCTTCTATATAATAATTGTGATAATAAGATCGAACTCTAGTCTCGACAATGGCAGCTTCCAAGTTCAGTACAAAATAAGTTGTGTTTTGTCACGTGAATCTCACGTCGCTAACACCAAAATCACGTCACAACTTTATTTTTGCCACCTGAAGAAACACGTCGCTGGAGAGCGCGTGGTAATGTTGGTGCAGCGTGAAAAACATGTCACAACGTTGCCACGTGAAATTCACGCTGCAACAAACTTTATAGGTTCAAAGGAATTCAGAGCAGAGCAGAGGTCAGAGCAGGTTTTATATTTACTTTTACGTTTGGTGTTGCAGTGTGTTTTTCATGTCACTAATTAGTGACGTGGAAAACACGCTGCAACTTATTTTTTTTTTAAAACAAAATTATTTTCTGTTTTAAATATATTAATTCTTATATAATAATTAATATTATTTTCTGTTTCATTAAATTTATAAATTAAATATTATAATTTATTTATTAAATACAATATTATAAATCAAATTATCAAAAATAAAACTAAATATATCAAAATATATAAATTAATATACTTAATATTATAAATTTAATAAACTAAAATTTAAATTTAATATTTTTAAATATACAATATGATTATAAATTTATTTTACACAAATAAAAAACTAAATAGAAAATAAAAATAAAATTAAGCAGAAGGATCATTCGAGTCGTCGGGAAAGTCGCGAAGAAAGTCATCATTATTTTGGTGGTTATTATTTTGGCCACCATTGTTGGGATTTCTACCAAATACTTGCATAAATTGTCGCATTTGCTCCTCCATATCAGTCTGTCTCTTCGCGATTGCCTCCATTTCTCTATTATGTTCACCCCTCATTGCCTCCATTTGGGCCTTCAATGCCGCCTCACGTTCTTCGGACTCACGTCTAGCCAATTGTCTTACCAGTTGTAACTGATATGGTGTCAAATTTGTTTGACGTGACCCTCCTTCACCGTCCGCAGCTCTCTGATACAGATTTCTATCCCCACTCCTCAAGGTGCCCTCCAAATTTCTACCACAAAAAAAAAACACCCGTTAGGCCCCTTTCCTCCAACAACTTGACTCCAAATATAGAAATCCACATCTGGATGAACCGGTTTTCCCGGAGGAGGAGTATACTGAGGATTATGGGTCAGAAATTCTACAAGCAAGGCCTGATAATCCTCCTACACATACAATAAAAAAATCAAGTTAAATATATAAGTAAAATTAATGAAATTAAATTAAGTAAAAAAAAAAATAAAAAACATATAGCCACGTGATTGTAACGCCACAACTTATCAGTTGCCACTCAATTTTCACGCCATAACATCTCACTTGCTACGTAAAAATCACGTCACAAAATTGCTTAAAAAATATATAAACATAAATTTACTTACCAGGACTTTTTTTGTACGCTCGTCAATAAATCCTCCTGATTTCTTTGTCCGAGTTTCGGTAACCAGCTCCGTCATCAATGGTTGTCTCCCCAAACGCTTAGCCTAAATAAAAAAATTAACTTAAATTAATAATATATGTTATAAATCCAAATATGACTTTAAAAAGTGGTAATAATTACCATGCGTCGAGCATGCTCAACAGTACTAATACTTCCAACAGCATTAAGACAACCCCCTTTTTCCGATGTCCTTATCTTCTTTGCATTTTCAGATTTAGCCTTAAATTCATCTAATTCCCAATACTTAAGAAGTTGTTCAAAAACTTCTTTGCCTATCCATTTGGGACGAATGCCCCAAAGTTGTCAATTCTCTCTAACACGTCGTAGCATGTCAGAAAGTCGTCTTGAACTCCTGCCAAAATATTTTTTTTTTAATTTGTTATGGTTCAGTGGATCCCAAAGACATTTCGCCTGCAATGTTGTATGACATTAAAATAAATAGTTAGATAAATTATAACAATAATGAAAAGGTCATTTAAATAAAAATAACTTAAGAAATAAATTAATTATACCTGAAATTGCTTAAACCATTCGTCTTTATCGGAAACTTCTCTAAAACACTTCAAAAAAATTGTATAATTCTGCTGAATTATATAATTTATAACCCTAACAGCAGTCCGACTCGGCCCGAAACTAAAACAACAATAATTGAATTAGCATAATTAAGTATATAAAGTTATATTAAAAATGGAAATGTGTACTTATAAATAAAAATCAATAAATAAGAAACTTACGAGTTCCCTTCAGGTTAAATCCAAAATCTCCCATCAATGATATGAATCTCACTCGGATCATCATCCCCTCGAAGATCTCTCCCATCTATCTGATCATCGTCCACACCAAGATCGTCATCATCCGACTCTGCATGATCATCGGATGCAGGTACATGTGTGGGATGTGGGGTGCGACCAGTCTGTGTGGGTCGTGAAGAGGTGGATCCTCCAGGTTGCTGGACGGATGGGGGCATCTGTGTAGGAAGTGGGGTGCTGGATCCTCCAGGCTGCTGCACGAATGAGGGTGTCTGTGTGGGAAATGGAAAACTGTGCTGGAAGGATGAGGGCACCTGTGTCTGCTGGAATGGTAAACCAGGTGGAGCCCTAGATGGACTAATAAAACATGGACTCCCAGATGGGAACTGAAGAGGACTCTGAGAGGATAGTAATGGTGTAAATGGTATAGTACTGTCCATGGACATATGATGAACCTGACTCTGCGGGGGAGGACACGTGGTTGAGTGAGGTGACTGGCATACTACTACCCTTGGACGCCTGGGCTTCCTACCACTATCACTAGGACCTTTACCCTGGGTGGAATTTTTACCTATTTATAGAAAATACAAGTTAACATATAATATATTTGAAAAGCACATTTCTCATGAATACATATTCATTAACTCATTCAATAGATGGTTCGTCAAGTAAAATTACAAGACACAATTCTCATGAATACATATTCATTAACTCATTCAATAGATGGTTCATCAAGTAAAATTACAAGACACAATTCTCATGAATATAGGTTCACTATTCTAAATCGTCATGCTCGTCATCCATATCATCCTCGTCATCTGATGTGATATTATCCTCAGATCCAGAATCTTCATGATCTTCATCCTCATCAACTTGATTCCCCTCAACCACTGTATTAGACAAACTTGTAGCATGTTCATCTGGAATCACATCATTAACTTCAACTTCATCAACTTGGTAAGCAACATCTTCCACTAGATCATCAGTTTCAATATGACCCAATGGTTTTGTTTTTATTACAACACAACACCGTCGTTTACGTGGCACAAATGAAGGATAAGGAACATAATAAACTTTTCTAACAATATTTGACATTATGAAAGGGTCGTACTCTTTGTACCTTCGGTCCATTTGAATCTCAACAGTACCATATGTATTATCTATTTTTGTGCCTCTAGTTGGATCATACCATTCACAATAAAACAAGACAACTATATTTTCCGAGTCCAAGTAATTGTATACAAACTCGTAGATATGTTTAACAAAACCATAGAAGTCATCTTCACCACCATCTGTAACTCCTTTCACAAATACGCCACTGTTTATGGTTTTTTTCCCTCCAGTCCATTCATGAGTGTGAAATTTATATCTGTTCACGAAGTATGTGTGTCATTTTTTTGCACTTTGACGAGGGCCATTAGACAAGTTTCTCAAATGGAGTATTTCTGGAGTTGATGCAACAACCCTATATAATTTCTCCTTGAACCATGTTGGAAATTGGGCATAAATGACACCAGATGTTGATTGTACACCGGTACTATCAAAATAGGCGTTGTTAAATTCCCTAAAAAGAAACACACTATAAGTTTCAAGATAATCAATTTTATATTCACACTGTAAAGAAAATTAAAAAGTTGGATTATACTTACTCAAGATATGGTTTAACTTTAATGCAGTTGATCAAGACATGAACATGTGCAGATTGCATTTCTTGTTGGGTCAACCAATGCTCACCCTTCTTTCCAGAGGGACGACCTGGAAGCCCGAAGACTGATAAGGTGTACTGACTTCTTTCGATAACATTTACAGGATTCCTTATGATTCTTGGAGTTAACATCAAGTGCTTGAAATAGTGACTGAAAAAATGTGAAGTTTCTCGATGCAAGTAATGTGCATATATTGATCCTTCAACTTTAGCTTTATTTTTCACTAATCGCTTTGAATCACCCATGAACCTTTCAAACGGATACATCCACCTATATTGAACAGGTCCTCCTAGATAAGCCTCGTATGCAAGATGCACAGGTAGATGTTCCATGGAGTCAAAAAAACCAGGCGGAAATACTTGTTCCAACTTACAGAGAATGATTGGAATATTTTGATCCAACTTAATGATGTCATCCACTCTTAAATCTGACGCACAAATATCTCTAAAAAATTGACTAATTTCAGTGAGTGGATTAAGCACATGTTTGGGTAGAGAATCGAACGCGATTGGTAGCAATTATTCCATAAAAACATGGCAATCATGACTTTTCATACCATGCAACTTCCCAGTGTTAGCATCAGCACACCTTGCTAAATTTGAAGAATACCCGTCGGGCATTCTCAAACCTTTTAGCCATCCACAAACCGCTTTAGCTTCTTGGGGGATCAGACTGAAACAAGCTTTAGGTTTAAATAATTTTCCATTTGGTTGAGGATTCAATTCTAACTCTTTACGATTACACCAAATTTCCATGTCTTGTCTAGCCTTCACATTATCTTTTGTTCTGTCTTTAACATCCA